ATTACACCCGATCGGGATTATTGAGCGTTCGGTACCGTACCGTTTGTTTACACAAATTACACCCGATCGGGATTATTGAGCGCTCGGTACCGTACCGTATGTTTACACAAATTACACCCGATCGGGATTATTGAGCGTTCGGTACCGTACTGTATGTTTACACACACCACACCCGATTGGGATTATTTAGCGTTCGGTACCGTACTGTTTGTTTACACAAATTACACCCGATCGGGATTATTGAGCGTTCGGTACCGTACTGTATGTTTACACACACCACACCCGATTGGGATTATTTAGCGTTCGGTACCGTACTGTTTGTTTACACAAATTACACCCGATCGGGATTATTGAGCGCTCGGTACCGTACTGTATGTTTACACACACCACACCCGATTGGGATTATTTAGCGTTCGGTACCGTACTGTATGTTTACACACACCACACCCGATTGGGATTATGAGCATTCGGTACCGTACTGTATGTTTACACAAATTACACCCGATTGGGATTATTTAGCGTTCGGTACCGTACCGTATGTTACACAATTACACCCGATCGGGATTATTGAGCGTTCGGTACCGTACTGTATGTTTACACACACCACACCCGATTGGGATTATTTAGCGTTCGGTACCGTACTGTATGTTTACACACACCACACCCGATTGGGATTATTGAGCATTCGGTACCGTACTGTATGTTTACACAAATTACACCCGATTGGGATTATTTAGCGTTCGGTACCGTACCGTATGTTTACACAAATTACACCCGATCGGGATTATTGAGCGTTCGGTACCGTACTGTTTGTTTACACAAATTACACCCGATTGGGATTATTGAGCGTTCGGTACCGTACTGTATGTTTACACACACCACACCCGATTGGGATTATTGAGCATTCGGTACCGTACTGTATGTTTACACACACCACACCCGATCGGGATTATTGAGCGTTCAGTACCGTACCGTATGTTTACACAAATTACACCCGATCGGGATTATTGAGCGCTCGGTACCGTACTGTATGTTTACACACACCACACCCGATTGGGATTATTTAGCGTTCGGTACCGTACTGTTTGTTTACACAAATTACACCCGATCGGGATTATTGAGCGCTCGGTACCGTACTGTATGTTTACACACACCACACCTGATTGGGATTATTTAGCGTTCGGTACCGTACTGTATGTTTACACACACCACACCCGATTGGGATTATTTAGCGTTCGGTACCGTACTGTATGTTTACACACACCACACCCGATTGGGATTATTTAGCGTTCGGTACCGTACTGTTTGTTTACACAAATTACACCCGATTGGGATTATTGAGCGTTCGGTACCGTACTGTATGTTTACACAAATTACACCCGATCGGGATTATTGAGCGTTCGGTACCGTACTGTATGTTTACACAAATTACACCCGATCGGGATTATTGAGCGTTCGGTACCGTACTGTACGTTTACACAAATTACACCCGATCGGGATTATTGAGCGTTCGGTACCGTACTGTATGTTTACACACACCACACCCGATCGGGATTATTTAGCATTCGGTACCGCAGCGTACGTTTACACACATCATACCTGATCAGGATTATTTAGTGTTTAGTACTGTAAATGTATACACATCTTATTTTATCTAGATGTTTCATTGTAGCATTTGGGTGTAGCCCAAAAGATAAAAGTGGAATTATTTACTTGTTAACTATAACAAAAATAAAAGTAAGTTAGTCAAAAATAAAAAAAACTAAAATAAAATTAAATAGTATTACAAAACTATCATTTCATGTTTTTAATGAATGAAAGTTGTGTGAAAGATGACCATCGTAATACTGAAAACCAAACATAAAGCGGAAACTAAATAAACACTAACCTAAAACTGTGCTGTTTCAGAAAATTAAAAACAAATCTAAAACAATTAATGTGGTAATTAACTAAAAAACTGGAAAAACTACACTATAACAGCTAATAACACTTTAAAACAGAGCCTGTAGAAGTGAGGAGAACAGGTAGGATGTGATTTGTTCATTACCTGATGTCACTGTGAGACACACCACTGTAGTGTTGTTACAGTAGTATAATCCAGCGTGAGAGGATGAGACACGTGAGATCATCAGAGACAGGCCGAGGTGGTTGTTGTATAATTTATGTGTATCATTGATGTGTTTGATCATCCTCCCTCCATCCTCTATTGTGAGAATATCCTCTCTTCTTCCATCTCTCTCTCTGCTCCAGATCACTGGGCCTTTGCTCATCTCACCACACTGAAGAGCCACTGTGCTGCCATTTATGACGCTTTCATATTTAATTTCTGTCCAGTAAAAATAAATAACAGCTTACACAACAGTCCCTTAGTGCAGAACTGCATTACATGCCTTTGCAGTCTGTACACTCCCCATCACCCCCCTCCCACCACCACCACCACCATGAAGTGTTTAATATGAGTAAAAATGTCTATATGAAGAGAAGTTAACGCATCCTCTACAGTGAACAGACTGAAATATGACATTTTCTAATTACATAATTTGCGTCTGCTAATTAGTGCACAATTTCTGTTTATTTGCTGAGTTTAATGCATTGGAACAAAGGTGCCATTACTTTTGCACAGGCTGCATTTAAGATCTTTGTCCCCTAATCTGTCAAATTCAGTAAATAAACAGTTACTGCGTGTTAAAATGTGCAGTAGTGTGTCTCTGCTGAGGACGTGTTCACTTATTCACACTCAGAGAATCAACACAACCGGGGTGCACAAACTTTTGCACAAGACTGTACATACAGGTCAGAGACAGCTTTGATGGAACAGAGATGTACTCACGACTATGAGTGGCAGGTACGAGGAGGAGGAGGAGGAGGAGAAAGAGGAGGATCTTCATCTTCAGCCACAGAGAGCAGCGATGACCAGTGGAGCTCTGTTTACAGCAGCTCTGCTGAGGTCAGTGTGTTACAATGTCCACAGCACAACACGCCCTGATATCGTCCTGTGGCTTTACTGAGGACTTCCTGAAAGCAACTCCGCTCAAAGACGATTCTTAAATGGTAGAGTGAGCATCGCAATGAACACTCTCTCTACTAGTTACAGGGGAGCTCCACCTAATATTCAGAATTTTTCCATAATAAATGAGTTAAGATGTAAACTGTTCACAGTGGTGGTGATAGGAACCAGACGTCCACCTCTAAAAGCTCCCTCACAGAAAGTTACTAACTTACATGAAATGGTTATGAATTCACTGCCTGATACATTGTTTTATAGTACTTTAAGAGGGTTTTGGTCTAAAACATATATTTTTTAATCTATTCATGGTGGAGGGATACATGCATGATGTTGTGAGGCAAAATAGTCCCCAAAGTAAACTATTATTATGCTATTATATCAGATTTTTCACTATTTTCCATCATCATCATTCCATATAAACTCAGAAGACTCGTGTAGGTTCACTGGTGGTTCTGGATAGTAAATAAAATGTCTCTATTTGTGTTGTAGTCATGGCAACCCCTGGTTTCTATCACCACTGTTTACATCTCACACACTGAATTATGAAGGTTTTTTGAAAAATTGGTGGAATTCCCCTTCAGTATGATCTTAACACTAAGGTGCTTTGAAGGAACTGGGCCCAGACTGGTGAGCGAAGGGTTTTGTTCCATTGTGTTGTTGTAACACAGCAAAGCTGCACCAGCTCTGCAGCCTGAGGCTCATTTTAAAGTGTACAAACGTCTGAAAAACGTCTCAGAGGTTTTTAAATAATAACTGCAAACACAAAAATAAAGCAGATGGAAATTAATGATCTCGGAAGACGACACTTCTGCAGATGGGTCACTAGGTGGCGCCTCAGCACCCTGTCTGAAATCTACAGTAAGCGCACGTGTTATGAATGTATTGTTATTCACTTATTTATTCGTTTGTTTGTTTAAAATCCTGCCAGATATTCTAATATCCGTGTTTTAAATTAAGTATACAAATGTTTTATAAAGAAACGCTGTTATACAGGACATGTAACGTGTACTACATGCTTTACGTAGACACACCCACAGGTCACGTGGGCGCTCATGTGCTAAAACGTGCATACCGGGTGGTGCACCATCCGTATCTGTCTCCGTCCAATTCTGCACCCCTCAGCTGCCTGTCAATTATTTTCCTCGTGTCATAGTTTTATAGCATAGAATCAGCATTTCAATACAATTTTTAATGATCGACTACGTAACAATGCATACACACAACAGCGACACAAATATGTTGATAACACATAACATAAAACTATTTATTTGTTTGTTTGCCAATTTGGTAAAATTGGACAATTCAGAACAAGCTATCCTATATTAGAGCAGTTCTGAAAAGTCGAAGCTAAAAAGCCAATTGAACACATTTTATCGAGCTGAAGGTGCATTTAGGAATCATGCAGAATAACTACAGTAGTTTATAAGAGAATTGACACCAGCTGCGCTGCTGTGTTGCGTGATTTTTAATCAGGCGGACGCGACACCTACCAAAGGGGTCCTTGGGGCGCAGGTTGTGCGGGGGGGGTTCAGAATCGCGCAGCACCGGAAGCGCCGCGGAGCGACAGTTGTTATGTAACGGCCGTGGAGACCGTGGATGTTTCCAGAACCGTCCGGCCCAAATTTCACTTTCAGAGCCCATTAATTCACACAGAGTGACCCACGGGGAGCCGATACGTGGCGCTGTTTCACAGCGGCGGCCTTAAAGCGGTCCAAACACACACAATATACACCAAAACTGCGCACTGCAGCCTTGTCTGTCGTATTTTAGCCTTAGCCTGAGCGGTGCTCTGATTGGCCCATATTCATGTCAATCGTAAAATCTTCGCCTGCAATTGGTTTAAATCGCTGTAGCTCAGAATACTGTACTTTCAGTGGACAATAGAGTCGATAACCACCCCCTCCTCAAACCCCGCCCACTCGCTGTTACTCACAGCCATTGGTCTGCTCTTGGGCAAATACTGCTCCCACTAGTGATTTGATTGGTCGGCTGTTGCTGTCTCTCAAATTTCCTCGGCTCTGATTGGATGTTGTCTTGGAGGAAGGGCGGGTCCTTGTTTTCCTTTCTGTTTTTCACCGTTGTAGGGAAGTCTGTTTCCTTGTGTGACTGCGGCGAGTGTGAACGATGAAACGGGGTGAATAATCGTTTCAGTGGCGCCGTTAGACCATTTTCCGCCCTCGGCCGTATGGATCTGCTCGTTGTTTAGACTCCGGGGGGCTCCGGGCTCTGCTGCAGGTCTCTGTGTCCGTTAGGCTGATGTGTGTTCACCGGCCCGGGTGGCGGAGCGTCTCAGCGTCTCTACAGTGCTGACCGAGTGAACCCGTGTCCTGTGGATCTGAGGGGGAACGGCTCTCTGTGGAGATGACCGCGGACCTGCTGTCCGATCTGGACAGTCGGTTCTTCGCCGATAACCTCCTGACGAGCGAGGACTGGGGTAAGTAGCCGTGCAGCACCGCTGCAGACTGCGGCGAGCTCGGTGATCCTCCTCGGTCAGCCCGACTGTCTGTGTGGCTGCAGTGAAACCAGTCAAAGTTGACCTGTTTCGCGTTTAAACACCAGTTAACGGTGTGGCCGCCAGTCCCAGACCCACACTGGGAACCGGACACTCTGAAAAAACACGGTTCTTCAGGGGTTCTTTAGTAAATAAATGGTTCTACATAGAACCACGAACGCTCAAAGAACGCTTTGCATGATAAAAGGGTTATTTGCATCATGATATGGTTCTTTAGATTGATGGGGAATGTGCTATAACGTTAGATGGATCTGTATAGAACCTTTTAGAAAAGGGTTCTTCTATGGTTACAAGCTTTACATCGTCCCTTTTTGAAAACCATCTACAGCACATTCTCCATCAGTCATGCGAAGGGTTCTTTGAGTGTTCATAGTTCTATACAAAACCATTTTCTTTACTAAAGAACCCTTGTAGAACCATCATTTTTAAGAATGTATGTAGCACCAGAAAGGGTTCTGCTGTTGTCAGAAGGTTGGGATTCTAACAGTAGCAGTATACGATGCAGAGAACCATTTAAGCATTCTAAAAAGAACCATCCCCTTTACTAAAGAACCCTCGAAGAAACTTTTGTAAGTGTGTAGAACGATTAATTGCAGCATGGATGATTAGTTTTAGGAGTCTAAACTGTAGGATGATAAACTGCAAGATGAGAAATTATAAGACGTAGAATGACGATTCATTGTGAGACAACGACGAGTATTTCTGTAAAAAGCCATGTGGTAAATGGTAGGATGATAATTGTAAGGATGATATACAGCAGGACGATTAATCGGAGCATGGGTGATTAATCTAAGAGCGTTTAAACCAGAGGATGACAAACTGTAGGTGAATAAACTTCAGGATGATCAATAATCGTAGAACAATAAACTGTAGATTGATAAACTGCAAGATTAGAAATTCTAGGATGAGTAAACGTAGAATGGAGATCAAATGTAAGATGATAGCAGCAGCCTAGTGTCGTAAACAGCGCAGTGATACATTATAGGTCAATAATTTGCAGGATGACGAACAGCAGGGCGATTAATCGGAGAACCATAAAACAGCAGGACGATTACTCGTAGAACCATAAAACCACAGGATGACGAACAGCAGGACGATTATTTATAGAACCATAAAACCACAGGATGACGAACAGCAGGACGATTAATCGTAGAACCATAAAACCACAGGATGACGAACAGCAGGGCGATTAATCGTAGAACCGTAAAACCGCAGGATGACGAACAGCAGGGCGATTAATCGTAGAACCGTAAAACCGCAGGATGACGAACAGCAGGGCGATTAATCGTAGAACCGTAAAACCGCAGGATGACGAACAGCAGGGCGATTAATCGTAGAACCGTAAAACCGCAGGATGACGAACAGCAGGCGATTACATCGTAGACACGTAAAACCGCAGGATGACGAACAGCAGGGCGATTAATCGTAGAACCGTAAAACCGCAGGATGACGAACAGCAGGGCGATTAATCGTAGAACCGTAAAACCGCAGGATGACGAACAGCAAGATGAGAAATTATAGAACAGTGAACTGTAGTCAGATAAACTGCAGGGAGATCAATAAACAGGATATTCAAGTGCGATAGATTCATAGAGCAATAAGCTAAAGTGTGGAAAACCAGAGGATCATTAATGGCAGCATGGGCGATCAATCGTACGATAAACTGTAGGGTGATAAACTGCCAGATGATAAATTATAGGACTGTAGGAGGACGATAAATCGCTGGATGATGAACTTTAAGATGATGCCCTGTAGGATAAGAAACAGCAGGGCGGTTAATTGTAGGATAACAAATAGGACGATAAACCGTCAGATGATAAACAGTAGGACGATAATCTTAGATGACTGGGATCAGAATATTATCATATCAATATTGGCAGAAACTCTTCATTTAAAGGAAAGTTTGAAAAAAGGACAGATGTTTAGATTTCACCAATATTTGATGCTGTATTTTTTAAACTCTAAAAGAGCGAAAGTGTAGGTATTGTTGGCCTACTGTGCGAAAATGGCTAAAATGTCTTATGAATGAAGTTTTATTCATTTTATTAATTTCATTGTAGCCGTAACCTCATAGAAATGAACGCCGT